AGAAGGTGACAATCCCGTTCCATGAGATATTAGCAGGAATGACACAATATGAAAAGATCGATTCCAATACCTCACGGTCTAAAGAGCCCAAAGAAAAACGAATTATGCTACAGCTCATTATCGAGTGATTCATGAAAAAAAGATGGAAGCCTCTGTGCATCATTTTAACGTCGAACAGTCAAGTTAACATTCAAAAAAAGTGTTGCATTAATAATTACATATTGCAGTCTTAAAGGTGTGTGCGCATCCTCTGAACGAAACTGACAGAGTTTACCTCTAAAACATGTTAATGTACTGGAAACATGTAGGCAATAGGTTGTGACTAACGAGTGGAGGGGGGGGTGGGTGGATTAAATCTGATTTATATAAAATTCGTGTATAAATTCGTAAATAATATTCGCTTGAGGGTTTGCGGAGCGTTAACTCACGTAAATCAGGGTCTGCTTGTAATTAGTTCACCGCAGAAGTAGAAACTGGCTAATGATATATCATGATTATGGCGAAACTTTACAGGAATATAAATAAGGCATTTGTTGTTTAAGTTGCGAAGGAAATTGTTGCTGTAGATGTCATGATTTAAAGCAAACAAATCTTGAACAGCAGTTTTGTTTAGATTAGCGATGTTTGAGTAGGTGCCTCAAACTCTCATTGGTTGTTGTGGCAAAACGTATTACCTTTCGCACAAAGATATGCTCCTAGTTATTATCTATAGGCATTTTTCTGTCTTTCAATGCGTCTGCTGTCAGTGGAAGACTTCAATAAAAAGATTCGATCAGAAGTTTGTTGTTTTGAACCGTTTTATGAAATTAAAGCAGGCCTCTTAATTCAACACGTCAACTGGCGAATATCTGTCAAGCTAAAGGGGAACATCGACTTGAGTATCAGTGTAGTTCACGTGAAATCAATTTAGTCATGTTTTCAGCTGTAACTGAACAGAGTAAGATCTGTTCGATTCGGTGTAAACTGAAGGCGCATTCTAAGGATTGTGCAAATTTTCCTCATCGCATTTAAGGAACAAAGCGTTACACGAGTCCATGGCAATGGCTGCACGACAAATTTGTTTTTCGCCAATCGAGCGACGCACGTCGTCTCAAGTTTCTTCTGTACAGGACCCTGTTTATACAGCGTACCGAGGTTGGCCCTTGTCTACGGCCCCTGGTCGCCGCTGATATCGATCAAGCCGAAGTCGCTGATGTTCGGGCTGAACACGTACTTCACAGGTGTGGT